AAAACATTTCACCTAAATCGGATGTGTAGTTTACAAGATCATTCGCGGACAAAATTTTCCCGAGAAGAAAAATAATAATAATAAGAAACAGAGTAAAAACAATATGTTCCCAAACTTCGTTTGGGGAACATAATAAGAAACCGAGTAAAAACAATATGTTCCCAAACTCCGTTTGGGGAACATAATAAGGTCGAATTCAAAAAATGGTTAAAAAGTCAACACTCCAATTAATTCATGTTCTGGAAAAATTTTTCAAAAACAGACCAAAGGAGATTTTTTGTATTCAAATTTCTTAAATATTTGTTCTCTATGATCTGAATCAAAATTAACGATCTGCGTATAATTGTGTCGACAGACTTTTTGACCAAGCTCCGTTCTGATGATTTTTCATCAAACGATTGTTTCTCTTATATGCACAGAACATTCTGCGTATAATTGATTCGAAGGATTTTTCAGCAAAGCTATGTTCTGATGAAATTTTATCGAACGACTAGTTTTTCTTTTATGCACAAATCCTTCACAACAAATATAAACACTCACTCTTAATTACCAAATGAGTCTATTTTTTTTGATTTGCAAGAAAATTAAAACTACTTATCTATATATGATTTAACTGTACTTTATAACACTGGACTTCAATACAATGTCTTTTTAAAAAGATTTGACGAAGAGATTGAATGGAAGATTTCTAAACCCATTTTCAAGTTTGAATATTCTCTTTGATATGCATCAAAATTTACAAGCTAGAAATTATGTTGAAAGAGTACAAGGAAGTACCGTATTGCTTATTTTTTTCGTCAAATTGCCAGATTGGGTATAAAGATAGCAATCTTGTGTTTAATTGACAATTAGAAATTTTGAGAGTGATGAAGATATATATGCACCAGGAAAAATAACAGAATTTACTCTGATAACAGTACTGAGGGCTGAGTTACATTTGCTGATTTCTTTATACTAAAAATTAATTAGGGTTCTGCAAAACATTCAGAGGAAACGTTGTATTGAGTGAACTTCTTTCAATTGCAAGCTAGTTGATTCTGCTTTTAAATAAAGATATAACAGCACTACACTGCATTGCACTGTAATATGATCGACGTACATATACTGTGAGTCTATTTAAAACAAAAACTTGGTCAATATTTGTACTACTACGATTTATGACAAAATTAATATGTTAAACATGAACTTTTTGAAAAATATTTAGTCTTCTTCCTGAGAACTCTGTTGTTATAATACTTGATAAAAAAATCAAATGAACTTCCTAGAAAGAATGATGAGTAAATATGTTGAGACTCAACCAAACAAAGCGCCGATTTCCTTTGTTGAATGAACAATGAAAGTCTCTTTTTAGTCCTGCGTAACAGAACTTGTTTAGTAAGAGAAACTCACCCTAAAATCAAACTTTTCACCCATCATCACCGTTAGTTATTCAGGCTGCCTCTCTAAAGTCTTATATAGTATACAAGCTTGTGATCCATTAGCTTTGCCTAAACATTTGCATAATATAAAGCAGAGAGCAAAGATCGTTTTGTATACGTTGTTCAGAGGGCCATAATTTGAGTTACCGAACTTTGTAACAAACTAGCATTATGCAAATTTCTAAACTTACATTCAATCTTCTACACTCAGAAGTGAAAGGAAAACATTCTGCACTCTGATGCATTACAATGCGCATTGTATTGCCTGACAAATTGCCCAGGTAAAATGAACTTAATCAATCTTTGACAGAATCGAATCAAAAATGTGGTTGTAAATCCACATTTTTTTATTTTGTGTTCTGAAAGAAAGTTGAAGGAAAGAATTGTTCAAAATTAACAATCAGTACATGATTGAGTTGAACGACTTTGCGACATGTGTACGTATTGATAATTTTTCATCGAACCTGTAGTTTTCTATGCACGAAACATCCAGAAGAAATAAACACTCCTCTTTCACTGATGAGAGAATTTTTTTGCATAAGAGTTGATACAGTTTATCTTAATTAGAATTTCACTGCATTTTATTGCACTAGACAACAATGCAATGTCGATCCTAATAAGTTAGGTCCACTTGAATTCAAAAAATGGTTGAAAAGGCAACACTACAATTATTTCATGTTCTGGAAAATTTTTTTCAAAAACAGACCAAAGGAGATTTTTTGTATTCAAATTTCTTAAATATTTGTTCTCTATGATCTGAATCAAAATTAACAATTTGCGCATAATTGTGTCGAAGGAATTTTTGACCAAGCTCTGTTCTGATGAATTTTCATCGAACGATTAGTTTCTCTTATATGCGCAAATCATTCTGCATATAATTGAATGGAAGGACTTTTCAACCAAGCTATGTTCTGATCGAACAACCAGTTATTGTTTTATGCACAAATCCTTCACAACAAATATAAACACTCACTCTTTATTACCAGTTGAGTCTATTTTTTTGAATTGGCAAGAAAATTAAAACTACTTATCTATATATGAATTTAGTTTAAGAAGTATTTTATTCATAATATACAAAGAGTACAATATGAATATGGATTGAACAGCAGGCCAAGGGCTTATATTAGTTCTCTCCATTTGAGATCAAGGTACACATGGTACAATTAAATTACTGTACATATTTTAAGTTCAACAAAACATGTATTATAAATTAATATTAAGAGAATTATAAAGAATACATGGTTGAAGAAAAATTGAGGGAAAAAAATGCATAAAGAAAACAATAACATAAATTTAAAAGAAAAGAAGAAAAAAAAAATGATGGAAAAAACAAACAAAAAATTAAGTCATAAGAATATGGAGAGGAAGGACTTTTCAGACAAAATCTTTTAGTGTTTTTTGTAAAATTATGAACTTGGTCAAAGAATAACATATTTTCTCTAAGAGATAGACAATCATAACCTGATAATACAATATTGACATCTCTTGGTATGTCATGGTCACTCATGTATGTAATTAAAATGTTCCTGGCAAAATCATAGCATGGGCATTGAAAGAAAAAATGAACAGAGTCTTCAAAACAATATCCACATTTTAAGCATTTATATATATGAATTTAACTGCACTTTATAACACTGGACTTCAATGCGATGTCTTTTTAAAAAGATTTAACGAAGAAATTGAATGGAAGATTCCTATACCCATTTTCAAGTTTGATTGTTCTCTTTGACATGCATCAAAATTTACAAGCTAGTAATTATGTCGAAAGAGTACGAGGAAGTACCGTATTGCTTATTTTTTTTTCGTCAAATGACCACATTGGGTATAAATTAAGATAGAATGTGTTTAATTGACAATTAGAAATTTTGTGAGTGATGCAGATATGCACCAGGAAAAATAACAGAATTTACTCTGATAACAGTACTGAGGCTGAGTTGTCATCAAAAACACATTTGCTGATTTCTTTATACGAAAAATTAATTAGGGTTCTGCAAAACATCCAGAGGAAACGTTGTATTGAGTGAACTTCTTTCAATTGCAAGCTAGTTGATTCTGCTTTTAAATGAAGACACATCAGAACTACACTGTATTGCATTATAATATGATCGACGTACATGTACTGTGAGTCTATTTAAAACAAAAACTTGGTCAGTATTTGAACGACAGTAACTACGATTTATGACAAAATTAATATGTTGAACATGAACTTTTTTAAAAAATTTAGTCTTCTTTCTAAGAACTCTGTTGTTACATCATTTGATTATAAAAATCAAATTAACTTTCCAAAACGACTGATGAATAAACATCTTAATACTCAATCAAACAAAGCGTCAATTTCCTTTGTAGAATTAACCATGAAAGGCGCTTTTCAGTCCTGCGTAACAGAAATTGTTTAGTGAGAGAGACTCGCACTAAAACCAAACTTTTCACCCATCATCACCGTTATTTACTCAAATTGCCTTTCTAAAGTCTTATATAGTATACAAGCTTGTTATCCATTAGCTTTGCCTAAACATTTGCATAATAGAAAGCAGAGAGCAAAGATCGTTTTGTCTACGTTGTTCAAAGGGCCATAATTTGAGTTATCGAACTTTGTAACAAACTAGCATTATGCAAATTTTAAAACTTACATTCAATCGCAAAAGAAAAATTGTATAAATAGGATATCTAGAAGGGTGGATGGTGGGGGAATATTTCTTCTACACTGAGAAGTGAAAGGAAATCATGCTGCATTCTGATGCATTACAATGCAACGCTTGCGCATTGTATTTCTTGGCAAATTGCCCAGTCAAAGTGATATTAGTCAATTTTTGCCAGAATTGAATCAAAAATGTGGTTGAAAGTCCACGTTTTTTGTTTTGTGTTCTGAAAGAAATTTTAGGGAAAAAATTGTTCAAAATTAACAATCAGTGTATAATTGCATTGAAAGACTTTGCGACTAGTTTACGCATTGATAATTTTTCATCGAACCTGTAGTTTTCTATGCACGAAACATCTAGAAGAAATACATTTTAGGGAAAAATGGATGAGATTGGTTTTAATTCACATTTTCTTTAATAAGTACTGTTACATGTAAGGGAAGTTAATACTCGGTGAAAATTTGTACGTCATAAAAATGTGTTGGATTTTGAAATACTACATGTAGTATTTATAATGATGTAATCCTATGTAAATCATAAATTACTTTATTCTATGTGAATAATTCAATGAAAGAAATACCCAGTTACATGCAATTTTATTAGTGTACCTCGTAAAGCGTTCGTCGGGATTAGCAATCATTGTGTTGATTAGCTAAGATAGTGAGTAGTTGGTGTCACGTGGCGCGGGGGTCGTATATATAGATACTCACTAACCTAATGAAAGTTGCTTAAAAATTCTAGATTTACTAAATGTTATCTAGTAAATCTGTCCAATATCTAGTAAAACTAAAGGTAGTGTTTGTATTGACAGTAAATTTACTAGTCTTCTTAATGACTTTAACTAATTAGTTTTTCAGTGTTTTATTTATTGATAAATCTTAAACTTTAAGTTAAAGGTAACATTGTTTAAATCTCTGTAAAATTTTCTCAATTTCTTTTTCAGATCCCGAAAATAAGGGAGTTCATCTGCATAACAAAAGTTATCTTACCTACAAAGCACATCGAAGAGCCACCCCGTTTTTGCTGCTGTATGTCCTGTTTAAACCTGAGAAGGACTCGGGGGTGATGGTCCGCCGGTACCGACACTGCAGTACTGGCAGATGCGCTCACGAGTTTGAACTCTCTCTGGACAATGGTCAACCCTGGCTGGAGGTGTCCGATGGGAAATACAAACTTAATCTAAAATATCCTAATAAGATAAAGGTTGGTACACTGAAAAATCTACTGATGTATTTAAGCGTATATTGACACGCTTTTAAATGGCTAAAATACATATATTTTGATTTTTAATCTGTGACATTATACATGAATGCATTTTGCATATATAACAATACTTTTGAAAAAATTTTTGAATTGTTTATATTATGTAAAAAATCCAAAAAAATATGAAACTGTGCATTAATGTTCTCTCTAAACCATTTGTTGAAAATGCTAAATTTTGCACTTTTAAATGATAATTTCAAGTTCAAAACAAGGTACCATTAATGTACTGATATTTAACAAAGCTAAATTTGTACAGTAATCTTGTTTTCCAGATCTCTTCTTAATATGGAGAGGCATAACAATCTTTAAATGTAGAATTACAGTCAAAATATTTCAAATAATATGAACACTTTAAAAAGAGGAAAGGTGTTATAGTGTGGCATAATTTATTTATTTGAACATAATTTTTTTTTTTCTATTTGCCCATATTTTCAAAATTACAATTGTACAAAGTATAAATCAACCTATACTGACACGCACAAATACAAACCCTATTTTACATTGGAATTTTCATTTAATAAAGAATTTTGTATTTGAAATTATGAATATCTTCAATTTGGTAAACATCAGTAAATTAAAATTTAGAACGATTTCCATACCATAACCGGGTCAAGTTTTAGTCTGCTTAACAGAAATCAAAATTTGCATGTTTAACAAAACATTTGGCAATATTATGGAATTTTACTGTTCATCATAAATAATGCAGCAATATTTAAAAAAATAAACTTTTTCTTTCCCGAAACAATGCTAAGACTTAAAAAATGGCATTTACTAAAAAATTTCAATGTAAAAAAGCACACTATATTTTGCTCAACAGGGTCTTATTTTTTAAACAGTGACACAAGGGTTCACTGTCATTTTCTAGTCTTGGGCATTTAAAAATGTCAAAGAATAATTGGAAATTTAATGACCTATAGCATTGGTAATTGTTGTGATCATAAACATTGTCGTTTTAACAGTCATATCTTATTGAACAAACAGAATTGTTTTTATCAAATCTCTGATGTTCTGAAAAGTGAAAAAAAAAATCATAAGAGCATTTGTAAATTATTGTAATGCATTTTTTTGCGTGTCAGTATATAAACAAAATATGTTTGGAATCATCACTAGCGACAAATTACGTTAATTAATCTTTAAAATTTAAACAGAATTGTTTACAGAATAATATGAAATGTTAAAAAAATGAGTCGGGCCATTTCTAGGCAGCAGATCGGGAGAGAGGGCAACCAAATATTTTTATAACAAGTGGTATTATAAGGCTAGTACATGTTCCATCACATACTTAGAAATGCAATTTTTTTTAATCTTTGACACTATTTTGAAAAACAAACAAAGGATTTTCGGGGGAAGGGGGGGGGGGGGTTAGCACTCACTTTTTTTGCGATGATAGACATAGCATATGCAATGGACCTTTCATTGCAAACATTGTGCTCGCTTCTAAATTTTCATAGAAACAACTCATCATATTTTATCAAGCTTCGTATGTTCAATGAGCGAGAGCTTACAACGTTGTCAACATAATGAGACATGATGCGTTTTTGTGTCCAAACATGACCCCATACAATGTGTGGGTCATTGCAAACATTCTAGCTATTTATGTGAGGTGCCTGAAGGAAATCATATAAATGCCTATTTTTTCTATCTAACTTATAAACAAAATAGACATATGTACCAACTTTTCGAATGTAATACATGTAATTACAATTTATTTTTCATGCACTGCGTTTTGTTTAACATTTTCAAATTAAATGCTAAGCATCCTCCTTGCAGTGCCCCATTTGAAAATAACTTCTTTCGCCACAGAAAAAAGACCTAACGTAAACACATATGTTTAGGACATTTTTATCTTTTTTTCTTGAGTTTTAAAGAAACCAACAAATTATCAAGACTTGTTCCATGAAAAATTAAATATAATCATGGTAATAAACGGATTTATCCACAGCAGATATATGCACATGCCAACCATGTGCTTAGCGGAATAATTTTAGCGAGGAATTTCGAGTTGTAAACAGAAAAGTTTTTCCCGATTTGCTGGAGTGAGGTTAAAATCGCGTTTTTTCATTAATCAGACGATGCGATGCAACAAATAAAAGTAGTAAGTAATATAACCTAATGATTATTACTTAGTAATTTCTCGTCTTGGTGTTATTATGGTCGCATTTATTCTAAAATCATTGTTATTCGAACTCTTTGTGTCAGAGGAATGGCGGACGAAATAAACACATGGCCTCAGGAAGACACACATATGAAAAATCAAATTTTCAAGAATTATGGATAATGACAAGAAAAAAACGAAACAAATGGTTGTAGCCATATTATCAATGAATCAAACTAACTCCATTTTCAATGCATTTTTCATCTCATGAATGCTGTAGCTGCGCAGTTCTAACATGATTAATTTTCTTCTAATTAAGACAAAATAAACTTAATTGTTTACTAATTTTGGTCTCTAACAGTAGATAATTAGTGCATTAGCACTTTGGGTAACTTTGAGCTAGTTTAGTAGAGTATTTAGCGCATTCTTGGTATTTCTTATTTTACACCAGACTAGATCCAATATGGCTTGTACATCCCCCTTAAGCGTATATTGACACGCTTTTATCACTTCATAACTTTTTTCAAATTGTGACATTTTGAAGTTTTGTTGCAACAATACTTGAATTTTAATTGTTTATATAATGTAAACTGTATAGATAAATTATCTTCAGGGTAAAGAACAGCGAAATGGAAAATGGTAATACTTACCCATAATTAATGTACTCATATTTAACAAAGCTAAATTTGTAAGTAATCAGTAGGTAGTGATATGTTGTGTTAAAATCTGATGCCTGCAAGATGATCGTAAATTCAATTAAAGAATGAGTATTATTCATTTCTACACTTTTAGAAAAATATTTGGCACACAATCATGGTTTGCATTTTCAAAAAGCGGGCGTTCATGAGAGTAGATGATGGTAAACATTTGAACACCACCGTAAAGTGTAAAGGAGAATTAAATTTTGACGCAGAGATGACGGTAGGCTGGGATAAACACAGAAAAGAAAGAATAGGTACATATATAAAGTTTTATGAACTTAATCAAAGTTAATTTAATGTTTGTATGATATATATATATATATATATATATATATATATATATATATATATATATATATATATATATATATATATATGTATAAAATGATTAAGAAAAAGATGAATGTATAGGAAAGCACAGTATATCTTCACTTTTCACTGCATTACGTCATGTGTTTTGTGTTTACATGTAGATTTAATTTTTTAATTTAAATTTTTTTTTCGGTCTATAGTTAACTTACAGTGTGTAATTCAACATGTAATTCCAGGATTTACCGGCGTGATTGGTTCGTTGAGAGTGAATTTCCGAGCTGTAAGTCTGTTTGAAGACGCGTCGAAATCTGAATATGGCGCTCCTATCAAAAGTATCGACGTTAAAGAAAAACAATTAGGTAAAAAAAAATCACAACTCCTCAAATATTAATAACCAGATAATAATACATCATCCACAGTATAAAAAGAAAGAAAAAGCATTGGATTGTATAGATGAAACCAAGTACCAAGTTATGGATTATGAGGATTTTTCTTGAATCCTTTTGACGATTTGCTTATATCCAAGCCTTTTCAATAAAATAATTGTATTTTATAACATTTTTTTTTATTTTTAGAGCCAACGGTTGCATATCCTATATTCCATGGAAATAACTACATGAAGTTGTCAGTACTCGGCACGACGAGATTTTCCGTAGAAATCGTTTTTTCGCCGATGAAGATGGATGGTCTTCTGCTTTTTAATCACGGAGTTGAAGCAAAATCCGTTGTGTATTTAAAGATTAAAAAAGCCGTTCTTGTTTTTTGCTTCAACTGTGGAAAGAAGATGGTGTGCACTGATCTGACGGACATCCAGGTAGGCTTTATTTTAGCATTAGTGAAATCAATATATATTAATTGAACGTCCATCCTATCCAACTTTTGGCATTCAAAGCTTAAGGCATACAGCACCAAACTACTGACACAACTGCTATAAGAAGCCACATTATTTACATAAGAAATTTGTTAAAAGGTGTAAACAGTAAAGATTATTTTAATTCGATTTTTAATTAAAATTTTTAAATTCTAAGGAATAAAATCGTAAAAACAGCCTAAAAACTGTTATATGGTGTATAATAAGCCCGTAATTAAATATAATTATATTCACATTGAATGTACATTTAGTCCTATTGCTTTGTAAACAAACTTGAACTAATTTATTAGATGTACCGTATTGTCAGCATAGCACACACTTTTACAGCCCGATTCCTGGTATCACATCTCTCTGGCCGTCAGAAAAACCACAGCCAAATTAAGGGTGAACGCCGGACCGTCCATTGAACTCGAGTCCTACGGGTCTTCATTTTCACCAGGCAGAACTTTATACGTCGGTGGAGGAGAAAGAGCTGATAGATATCAACTCCACAAAGATGTCCAGACAACTGTTGGGTTTATGGGGTATATCTACAGTCTTAGAATAAATGGTCAAAGGGTGGACATGAAGGGGGCAGCAATAATGAACAAAGATGGTTTTCTGAATTCAATGGGGGTGACTTATTCAGGTACAGTAAAAATGCATTTTCTTTGTTTTGCTGAAAGAATTTTGTGAGTCTTAGCGTTCTCTGTCTTTGTTTCTAACATTTAGGTAATAAATAAATTTGAATTAAAAAACAATAATGACAATTTTTTTTCTGTCATTTCCTAGCATTAATATACACCACTATTTAAAGAGGCTCTGTTTATTTTCTTTGGGTTTTATTTTTAGCTAGTGACATCATTAGAGAAAGCGAAAGGAGTGACGTATTATTAAAATGTGATTATACTTACTACATAAGAAAGTCGATCGATGTGGACGTCATGTGGTTTAAAACTGATGAAGTCATTTACCCAAATGAAAATGGATCATTCAAAATACATCAAAGGGTAAAGTTAAAGTGTTTCATTTTTATATAGAATTCATACGTAATAATTTTACTGTGCATTACTTTTCATTAAGAGAAGTATTTTCTTTATGAAGAGATATGTTTTAATACAGTTTCGAGGACAGCCATATACTAGTGGATTAGAATTGTTTGGTAAAGGTCACAGCGGAATCTATCTGTGTGCAGTTCATCATGCCGGTGTGATGGTGGTTCAGCATGCGTTTATAATAGAGGAACCGCTTCCGAAGACACGTATTTATATTTATTGATTACTTTTTGCACTAAACAGTTGCAGTTTTCAGTGTCTATCGCATTTTAAAAGGAAAACAATGGCCTATAGGATTTTTATTGTTGTCGTGCATTTTTTTGTTTCAGAATGGACAATTGTAAAAGAAGAAGAGATGGGTGTCCGTATTGTAGCTGCTATTGTACCTCTGCTATTTCTGGCCTGTTTGTGCTTTGTATGTGGACAAAAAGTGGATGCTATACGAAAGTCTAAAATGTTAGTCTACTTAAAAATTATCTAGAAGTTCATTGAAATGTGCTTATACACACTGAATAGAAGTTCCACACAGTCACTGTATACTTAACTAGTACAACTGTTTTCTAGTCATGTTAAAAAAAAAATTTCAAGAAGGAACTACAAAATAGGTAATAGCTTTTCAACTGAAATTTCATCAATGTAGTTCATTTTGAGACCCGTAGGCATCACTCCTAGTATCCATCGAATACCGGTATCTCTATTTCTTTGGTTTTTTTGCAATTTTTTCAACTTTGTTTCAAAGGAGTATTCAAAAGCGATATTGGTACTAACACCTCAGGTGGAGGCGATGAAATTCCATTGTAAATGGCACTTGTTCTGGTGTTTTATTTGCATGTCAAATATCAAAATCTTGTAAAGCGCTAGGAAAAGTGTAAGCTATTTCGTGATACCTGCTTATTGCATCCCTAGATACACAATTTAACCAATTTAGTTTGGAAAGGGCTTATAGTTGCTTGGTATTTGCGGACCGGAGTAAGCCTGCTCCAAAAAGTGATGAATCCGAAGCAAGTGTGTAACTTACTCTCTATCCTTAGATGCATTATCCATGAAAGTTGGTGTAGGTAGGATTCACTCTTTTGTGAAGTGTATTTCGTATTCAACTTTCGACGCAAATCGAGTAGTGCAACCCTTAGATGTATCATTCGTACAGGTTCGGTCTAGGTATGCATTATAGTTCGATCCTTGAGACAGTGATCTGCTATATAGTCTTTGATTTCGTCTCTCATCCAGAAAATGCAAGTCAGATCCAGCTTTATAATAACAAGCATTCTGAGAGTATTGCATAAGCAATACATGTCCCCTACCGGTTCCCTTATTCTCTTTGGGGTGTCATTTTATTAGAGCCTGTGTATGAAAAATTATTACTTAAATTTCGACATTTCAGTTATTACTTGAATATGAATGAAATGTATTGGATATCTGCCTTACAACGAAAGACTCGTTGAATGCCATTTGACACACACAAATGTCTTGATCAGAACAGTTTATTTTACATGGTTGAACAACAATTTTATACCAGAAAGAATCAAACTTGATCTATATTTGTCACTATAAAGTTTCAAATCATGATAATTTCGTTTAGAACATTAATCCAGTAGTGCATCACGACATTAATTTAGTGTATCACGACCCCGGTGAACCCAATTATTAAAAAAATACCACAATTCCTTCAGAAATCAATGAAGTAGAACAAAATGCAAACTTGGTATATAACTAATCAATTTATAAGAGCTGTCCAGCAAGTTTCAATTCATGACAATCTCGTTTAGAACATAAATTGAGTGCATCACGACATAAATGTAGTGCATCACGAACCCTATATTTAACCCAATATTATAAAATAAAAAAAAAAATAAAAATACCATAATTCTTTCAAAAATTAATTAAGCAGAACGAAATGCAAACTTGATCGATAACTAATTAAGGTAAAGTCTCATACTAAAAACCAGCTCAATATCTGCAAGCGTTTAGGAGAAAAGTGCGGAAAACCCTGAAAAATTGAAAAGGTCATAATTCTGTAAAAAAAATCATTGAATCGATCTGTAACTCATTAATGTCAGCTAAATATCTGCCAGCGTTTAGAAAAAAAAGTGTGGAAAACCAAGTTTAGGGGACTAAAAACAAGTTCAAGCTATGTTTCCTAATAAGCATTATCAATGATAGTCTGATCCAAGAAGGACTTATCGTCACTAAATGGAAAATAAAGGACAAACCTAGAACCAGAGGCAAATATTGTAGGATGCAAATGTTTGGTAGAACAGTTTAGCTTAGGTATTTCTTCTGAAATATGTTTTGTCAGATCATCATTTTAAGCGAGTCTGGAAGTATAAATCCTGAGAAACATCATTCATTATAAGTCTGGTCAAGTAGACTTACAATTACATGTTCTTGTAAATGGACCTGCTTAAAAACTGTTACCTCATCCAGAACATGATTGTCAGATCCAGCATCCGAAGCATGTGTGGTAGTTTTATTCTTCGATAGATACATCATCCACACAATTAAGATCTTTGAGGCTATGAACAGTTACTTGGGAATTACCTGCTTCAAAAATATTAGCTTAGTCACTTATCTTGCGTCATCCAACGCCTTGGAATTAACATAAGCTCCTCTCGACTTCGTCAAAGTGAGAAATAATTAGAATATGCCCTTTGAAAACAAATGACTTCTTGGACTATTGTACAGTGTGTTTATACACTAACTCTATCTTCAATAGGTCTCTGGTAGCTGTAAAAATTTTATACCTGCTGTATTATGGTAAAACTTATCTGATTCATTGCAGGGTGCGTGGGATGGCTAAGGTAGAGAAGCTAAGGAAAGAAAAAGAAAAGACAGATCAAGAAAGAGCGTTAATAGTTGATGCAAACCAATTTGAAGACGCTGATGAAGATACCAGCAATGTAAATACACCACGTGATGACGACACTAGCAATTTAAATTCAATACGTGACGAAGATACCAGCAACGTCACAACACCACGTGACCGTGGTTCTGGTCGGTTCTCGCCTCACAATGAAGATGATGAAAAAGGAATTTATGACACAATTGCAGATATGGAAGATAATCTTTATGATGTACCTCAAGGAAATCCAAGACGAATTCAGGACAAACAGGTTGTTAAACGTTTTATCCTTCATTTAAATTTCAAATAATTATGCCCAAGCAACCAAAAATGAATAATAATTAATTTTTTTTTAATGAAGGTGTATTTTCAAGAATTAAATATAAATTTTCTTTTTAATGAAGGTGTATTTTCAAGAATTTGACAACATGTATGAGAGACCACAAACAAGATATGAAGGTATAGAATTTAGACTGCGATTATTTGTTCAACTCTCACAACAGATTCTTTATATGAATTAATCATGTTTTGCAGAACTTTGAAAACAAATACTAATTTTATCCACTTGCTCTGATTTTTAAACTTTCAAAACTGTAGATTATCCAGTAAAAGATGAAGAAGAGAACAAAGAAATGATAGATGAAGCGTTAGATGCCATTATACAGTATGTCTTTTGTTTCTCTAAAGTACAGTTGACAACGAATGTTTGCTGTCATGGGAAAACTGCTTACTGTTATAGAATTGCTATTAAAACAAAATTCATATGACAAAAAGAATTAGAAAAGAAAAAAAATTGCCATGTAACCAAATAAACATGTATAAAAACCCTTTAAAAATATTTCTCTCACTTGAAGAAAAGCTAGTAAAGGATCCGTTCACCAGAGGGAGTCTTTAAGGAGACGCAGTAGGGAAGGTGATTCTTTTAATTGTGTATTATATTGAATAATAATATTCTTGTACGATGTGAACAGTATTAAATTCTAAAGGTTATTCCTTAAAAGGACAATCTGTAACAGTTATTGAACTATTTCACAGTTAATTGTAGATTTCTTTGATGGAGAACATTCAGATGAATGGCTTCGTGTTAGTTAATAGGTTAACTAATAAAATGATATGTACATTTTTTGATTTTCAAAATCAGACGGTTCAAAACAAATGCAAAGTGAAGATGAAGAGGGCGACGTTATTTTACGGTATGCAACCCAGTATTTCATTTTAAATTTCAACGAGGAACCTAGTAAAAGCTTCAATTCACCCAGTATGTCACTAAATTTCAAAAGAAACCTATTAAAAGCTTACCTTGCTATTATTTATAAATGTATATTGCAGATCAGACAATTTGTCAAGGACAACTTATCTGGACACACTTAAAAAACGGCGAGAGGCTAACATGCAAGATAGGTCCATTCATGCAGTGATCACTGCGAGTCCGCAAGGCAATAGAATTTATGAAACAAGGGGCACTTCCGTGCGTGGTCTCTCATATGAACGACCAAGGGACACGACGGTGTTAAATTCTGATGATATAAATGAACAAGATTACTATTTGGGTGCAAATGCAGCAGACTTGTATGTAAGACATTCAGAGACTTCTGCCAGGCATAAACCTGTAAATAGCAGAGACTCGGTTAACAAAACAAAATACGGTGCCAATGATTCAAGAAGCAGTGTGGTCGAAAAACCAGTGTTGCCAAACATTGCTTCTGATTACGGGCACGAAGGTGGGATGATACTTATGGATGACATGGATACCTATTATGTTAATACTCATCCGCCATCTTATCCAGGCAAGCTAATTAGTCGTCTGCTAAACGAATTCGTTATCTGTAGATATGTGATTCAATTTACTAGTAAATTCTCAAATTGATTTTTAGGTGAACCTGTGTATGCTAACCGTGGGGTGAACAACACAAGTATAAAACGAGAAGATTCTTTAATGTAAGCGAATAAAAATATTTAATTAAACACTTTTAAAAACTACAATTACCTTCATTTAAAAGCTGAAGTCAGTGATAAATCCATATCATTAATGAATCACTGGTACAACAAAATTACATCTGAATATATTTTATAGCGCAAGTAAATTTATTTTACATATGACAACTATTTTTGCAACAGCAAGACAGAAGTTTTATTATTATACAAATGTTTGATCTAGTGGTTGCCGTTTTACATTGCAGATTTAGGACACGCAATTTAGAGGAAGATCCTAGCACCCCAGTTAAACCTAAAGATGGTAAGACCACAATTTCTCTTGTTTCTTGTATTCAGGTAGTATTAACGACTTGCAAGTATGCATATATTTTAAATACAAATAGTTTCAAAGGTGGACATTTCTGTACAAAGTCATCGATGATTCGTGAATAATTCTCAGATTAAACATACGTATATGACTATATCATCATTTTGTTTCAACAAAACAAAAAACAACAACAACAAAAATCGGCAAAAGCATTTTAGCAGTAAGATTTTTCCTTCTTAACAACAATTGTGAAAGTAAAATTCATGTATATGTTTTTGTAGATAATGCCCGTCTTTCTTTTATTCCTCCCCACACCTACAGTGACCACAGATACGCAAGGATCAGCGGAATGGAGATCTTTGACAATGACAACATCGCAGAGTAGGAACTTCGTAGTTTGCTTCCTTTAACAAATACTTATGTGCCATTTTTCCCAGGCAAATAATTTAGAATTTCCATCAAGAATGAAAAGGGACTCTAGCCTTGATTAGAATTTATTTTATAATTTAAACATATCTTTTTAACTTTCTAAAAAAAAATCCTAATTCCATGAACAACACGGTGTACTCATCAATGTTTATCATAAATGAGAAAGTATGAAAATATCTCAAAGCCATTTATTTCTTTCGAGAATGCTAATAAAATTGTAACAAGAATGTTACTTTGCCTCAGATAATTATATTTTTCATACTATATATCAGGCGTGAAGTAGTATATGACCAGACAACTCCCAAACAAATGAGAGGAGTTTCAAATGGAGAACAAAATTTTGTAGGTAAGTCGACTGCAGTATATATTTACATATTGATAACATTTTAACCAGGGTATTTTATGTAAAAATATACTAGTAATAATTGTGAAAGGTAGATATGCATTTCAAAAACAACAGAAATAGTCATATGAATATTTTGTAACTCTCTTGTTAAAGAATTCAGTTCATTTGTGTTTTATGGATCTTTAACATTTCTTACTCCTATCACATTACAGTTCCTATAGCACCCCCACCACCAGTGGCACCACCCGCTCCGTTTCCTCCGCCCCCACCGCCACCATCACCACCACCTCCAGGAGGCTCCAGGGCCAAAAATAAATGAAGGACAAATTAAATTATTATTATATTGAAATATCAATTTTTTCTCCATATTTACGTATTTATATAAATGAATAATGTTTTATTTCGACATGAGTTTTTAACATATTGAATGCTCCTCCTTTTAAGTGTATCACTTATAAACTTAAAGTATGTGGATTAATTGTACAGATAATTCTGTTTAATTTGTGGGTTCTGAAGTGACATCAACCAGTAGTGGTTATCAGTTTTGTTGGAATGGAACGTTTTAGTTTCTTTTTGAAGAATTTCTATTGTTACATAGTAAGATAACCATTTCTTTGAAAATATCGTTGCAGTGTTTAAAGTCACCCAACCTTATGCGAATAATAATGCAACATTTGAAACGGGGATTTTAATAAGGTATTGGAGAGAGCGAGAGACTTACATGTACATGTACCACTTCTGTAAGATTTAAACATTGCAATGAATTTGTACATATCTATATAAAAATTTTTATTTTTTACCGAAGTAACGATTTTCAATCTAACATTCTATTTTATGGTATTATTTTTAAACAGACTGTCAATCAGATTGGCTAAATAATGTATTATAGAACAACTGTTCTATAAACACTAGAATGAAGCAGGTCGTACAAGACTAGGACAACACCCACTGTGAAACATTTATCAGTTTGTCAAGTTCTAAGTACTAGTAATAGTTTTAACAATTATTGTGCCAGTAATCAATGGAAAATAAAGAAAATTGATTATTTATCAATAATTAATTCAATAACATACCGGGTATAAAGAAATCAAATATGTAAAAGATTATACCGACCATACAATTACGAAAAAAAAAATATCTATAGCCTTTAAATTCTGAAATACCTGCCATGCTTTGTACAGATATTCTTTATATTCACTGAACATCTCTTTCTCTATTAAGTAAGAAAATAAGTGCTTTCTCCTTTCTGAAGAAATGTGCCTTAGATACATAATGTAAGAACGCCATTTCAAAAGAAAACTTGGACATCCCTTTCAACCAAAAAAAAAAAAAACCTCTTCCGTGAACTTGATTGAAATAGGGAAGATCAACTGATACTTCTTGAAAACTCTGCAGTAACAAAAATTTTCATCACCTGTTCGCTTAAGACAGCGGATACATCGTTTGTTTCAGTTTTCATAATTATGCGTATGCATGTAGTTCTTTTTTTTTTTTTACGGTAAAGCCAAGTTACGTCACTTTCGGTTCGCAAAGGACAAACGAATCCACATACGCATACATACAGTGTACACACAAGTGCGTCACTAAATATCCTTATGAGGCGCCGTTTTGGTATTTACTGACAGAAAGTGATATCATCTATTCAAAAAGGTGATATCAATAATTTGAATAGGTGATATCACCTATACGAAAAAGTTATATCACTCATTCAATTTGAATAGGTGATATCTATCCGAATAGGTGATATCACTTATTCAAATAGATAATTTCAGATTGGTGATATCACCTTTTGGAATTGAATAGATGATATCACCTATTTGTGCTGAATAGGTGATATGATTGATATCACCTATTCAGATAAATGATCTCACCTATTCCAAAAGGTGATATCACATATTCAATTTAAAATGGTGATATCACCGATTCGAATTTGAATAGGAGATGTCACCTATTCATATGTCTTACAACAATAAATAATGAATGCTAGCTAGACTTATTCAAATAAGTGATATCACCTATTACCTATTCAAAAGGAATAAGTGATATCACCTATTACCTATTCAAAAGGAATAGGTGATATCACTTTTTTGAATAGGTGATATCACCAATTCAAATCAATTAGGTGATATAACCTATTTGAATATGTATATCAGTGATTCGAATAGGTGAGATCACCTATTCAGAATCTGAATAGGTGATCATATCACTTACTCGAGTAAGTCATATCACCAATTGAATAGTTAATGTCATCTATTAAAATTAGTGATGTTTTTGGCCGTAAATACCAGAACGGCGCCTCATGCATTCCTTCCAATTCCGATGTGAGGAAACAAAAATCTCATTTAATTGTAGTTGTCCCTCTCTGATAACAATATTTTTAACCATAGAAGATGGATTAATTACTTTTTAAAAAATGTCAGTTCCGAAGGTCCCCTTTCATTCATTTTATAGTTGAAAAACACTATAAGATTGTGAAGATAGATTTTTTAAAAATAATATTTCAATAAGCAAGGACTTTGTTGACAAATATGCGTGCAACCAGTAACCTATGGTAATGAAAAAAAAATAACGAAAGAAAACCAGTAATTTTTATTACAAAGCAAAGGCATTCTACACACTAGATAACCATTAGCCCACTACCGACGTTATAGGAGTTCTGGGATAGTAGTAACAAAAATGCAGTCGGATGTCATCCCCGCCATCTTCATAAGGGTGGTCTCCGGATCGACTGTCGTGGTTGTGTGAATCCTCTGTGTCCCATAGCATACTTTCCTCTTTTACATGCATCCCCACGACTTCCTGGCATCCTCGCTTATGGCGCAACAAGACAAAAGGTTTGTCCCTTGGTAATGCAATTTGTTCTGTGGGAAGTCCGTCACTCCTTATGGTTAAAGAAAGAAATAAGTCTATCTCAAAATTATGAAATCATAGCTTGTTGAAATGAAACAGTGTTGTTATGCTTTAAAGGGTCATTCAAAATATTCATGTTTGAAATATAGGGTTGCAGCTGTACGTATTAAAACAGAATATTTTGTCGTTTATTTCTTAAGCGCTATGCATATCACCTAGTTCAGAAATTTTCTAGCAGTGTTTTTTTTATCAATAAAACGTAATTTTTTGCATGACCTGTTTTAGAAAATTACAAGTTTTGGAACCAAATAATCTAGCTTTATGGGGAAAAATATACACAAGTCTAATGTCTCTTAAATTTATGTATTTTATACAAAGGCTAATTCATAGATCATCATCATACATCTTTAAAACTATTTATAAAAAATAAAACTGTTTCGAGTCATGTAGATTTAGAAATATTTTTAAAATCTAGATCAAAAGTGAAAAAAAAAAATCACAGATAAGCTTGAACTTATGTTAACAAATTAATATGGCATCTATGATCTATCTCGCCTATATGCGAATAAGATGCTTTTATCTTGGCAGCGCAATTTTTTTGGCGCAGTTACCTCTCCTTATTTTGGCACGAGTTATCTAACCTTCAGTTATATATAAAGAAAGCACTCATGCGGCAAACTCTCTCTTTGCCGGCTACACGCTAGTTGCAAGGTTGGTGTTATTCAAATTTTAGAAAACGACTAAGTATAGAGATTTAAAATAGATCCTCTTTGCCGGCTACACGCTAGTTGCAAGGTTGGTGTTATTCAAATTTTAGAAAACGACTAAGTATAGAGATTTAAAATAGATTTTTGCTAAAGCCTTGATTGCTTTTAATTATTTGTTGAATTTGTACTGCTTATTTATATATTCGTTGACAATACAAAGGTTTTAGACCAGGTCAGACGCATTTCAATTTTTATATTTTTTGCATCACCATGTGCTTGCCGCCATCTTTGTCCCTAGAGTAATCGAACATGTATTTGATAATGATTTATAACTTTAGCTTATGATTAATAAACAAATAAATAAGAACAATGCAGCGGAGGATGTTTATTGGTTCCTTACTAAAATTTAAAAACGTGACTTAATCGGAGGTTGATACCACTGTCTACAGATTTCCTAAGAGTTATCGCCCGTTGTCGGCGTAACGCTCAATTTTACCACTTTGTCATTTGTAAGTAAGCTGTTGATATTTCTTTTTTTGTACCTGTATTGCCACAGGACGGGTGAACATGCAAATTGGAAAACATAATGAACATATTTAATACAGATTTTGTTTCTAGGATACTGGCCCATAGAGTTGGTAAGGTTATAGAGGGAAAATAGTGCCTTGAATTTATTGACCCTGAATTGAACTCGCAAAAGGGGGGAATAATTTCTTTTTTTTTTTGTAAATCATTAAATGTCAAAGTCAATTTTTAATTTTTTGTATAATTGGAGAAATTTTGTTTTAAATTAACTTTTCATTTTTGTTTTTTGGGACTCAACATGCCACGCACAAAGCGATCAACTAAAGGTAGACCACCACAACGATTTGATCCAGCTGAAACAACGATGGAGAATCGGGGTCGCACAAGAAGGCGGTTGGACCGAACCCAAGCAACCCCAACCCCGAACATGCAAACCCATCCAGAAGCTACGTATATACCAGGTCCATCTAGTCGACCCATGCAGCCTCTGCAGCAGACACAACATGAGGCCCAACCACTGCCTGCGGCCACAACACAACATCAAGTCAGCCAGCAGTCAATAATGCAACCTGCTCCAATACCTCAGCAGACCCAACATGAGGCCCATCCACTGCCGGCTGCCACAACACATCATCAAGTCAACCAGCAGCCAGTTGCGCAACCTGCTCCAATACCTGCACAGTCACTGCATTACACGATCCCCCAAGCCCAACCACAGCAGACTTTCTTGTCAGGTCCATCGCATCAACCCATTCAGCCTCAGCAAGCCCAACAACAGACTCCCACGACACAGCAAGTACAGCCCCAGGCCCAAACAAGCAATGATCAGGAATCCGTACCAGTGCATTCGGTTCATAATCTAGGTATGCACATTAATCAATCATTAAAACAAAAAATAATTGAAGGTCAGTTTGTAGAATTACAGTCTCTGCTTCCACCTAAACCTGGGGGTACTGATAAAAAACTAACCCTAAGTGCCACAGGAGAAATTGTAACAAAGGAAAATGTGGCTAAAATATATACAATTGAAAAATGGACTGATGTCATGCTCATGTTTGCATCTGTTTACATATCTGCCCATCCAGATAAAGCAGTAGATATGCTAAAGTACATCCATACAGTTCGGTTGGGGGCTTCAAGGGGGGCCACAGGGTGGTACCAATGTGACACGCAGTACCGTCTGCGGAAATCAATAGATCCCTCTAGTTCTTGGGCATTAGTTGATTCAGAGCTGTGGTTGTTATACATGAATCCTAGTTATCAGCTTGGATGTCCCCAGACTCAAAGCACGCAAGTAAACAAATGTTGCTACGATTTTAATTTTCGGGGGTCCTGCAGTCGATATCCGTGTCAGTACATGCACACGTGTACACGTTGTGCCGGCTTGCACTCAGTCATACAATGCAATTATCAAAGAGCCCAGGTAAATACCAGTAGCTCATCAAACTCCACAAACTCCTTTCGAACCCAGTCCATGCAACCACAATCACAATTTAGAAATGCATATACAAGACAACAGACTCAACCAAACTCCTACCAAAGATCTCAGTCCCACTTCCAAAATTACAGGGGAAATGGTCAGAGATATTTGGGTCCTAGGAAAAACACCAATTAAAATTCCCATATTAAAGAGTTACCTTGATCTTTACCCAAACAAATCTGTAGCAAACAAATTGTTAAGTGGCTTTTCTGAGGGGTTCAGACTTTATTACTCAGGTCCAAGGTTACATATAGAAAATAACAATTTAATTTCAGCTTATGAACACAAAGCAGAAATAAAAGAAAAAATTAACAAAGAAGTTGAATTAGGCAGGGTGGGGGGACCCTACAAAGAACTACCAATATGTAATCTCAGAGTGTCGCCAGTAGGAGTGGTACCAAAGGGGGATAACGCTGGGTGGCGTTTGATAACACACCTTTCATATCCTGCGGATAACAGTGTAAATTGCTATATAGACCCTAGTGAGTCCACAGTTCATTATACATCCTTTGATACAGTTGTACAAATGTTGGCAAAGGTTGGTGAAGGTGCTTTTATTGCAAAAGTAGATATTAAATCAGCATTTAGGCTACTACCTATCTTCCCTGGGGATTTTGACCTTTTAGGATTCAAAGTTGAGGGTCTATATTACATTGATAAATGCCTTCCAATGGGCTGCTCTCTCTCGTGCAAAGTATTTGAAGAATTTGCAACATTCTTGCACTGGATTACTGAAAAAAAGAGTGGTTTTGATACTTTAGATCATTATTTAGATGATTTCATATTTGCAGGGGAGGATAGGGAGTCGTGTCTTAAATTAATGAAAACATTTCAAGGAGTTTGTACTGAACTGGGGGTCCCCTTAGCCGATGACAAAACGGTTTATCCCACTCACTGTCTTGTATTTTTAGGTTTAGAAATTGACACAGTGCAAATGTTAATCAGAGTACCTCATGAAAAATGTATTGAATTGAAGTACATACTGCATGAATACTTAAGCAAAAAACAAATAGTTTTGCGTCAGTTACAGTCATTGTTAGGGAAGCTAAACTTTTTTACAAAAGCTATTTCTGCTGGCCGAGCATTTGTCAGGAGATTGTACGATTCAACCCATGGTGTGTCTAAGCCTCATCATCATATTAAGCTAAACAATGAAATGAAGCAAGATATGCTTATGTGGTTAAGTTTCCTAGAGCAATTTAATGGTCAAGTTTATTTCCAAGAAAGTGATTGGTCATCAAATTTAGTTTTAGATCTGTATACAGATAGTGCTGGTTCTGCACACCTGGGTTGTGGAGCATACTTTCAAGGGCAATGGTGCTATTTTCCTTGGCCACATGAATGGGTCACTTCAGATATATTGCGTGACATGACAACACTAGAGCTTATCCCAGTAGTTTTGGCCATTAGCTTATGGGGTAGTCAACTTGCAAATAAGAAAGTACTGTTTCATATTGATAATGCAGCATTGGTTTCGGTTTTGAATAAACAGTCCTCAAAATCCAGTAGAGTTATGAAATTAGTTCGCCCATTTGTTTTAGATTGCATGTTAAACAATATGTGACGCGCCAAGCAAAAACCTCCCTTATGTCTATTATGACGTAACGTCAAAAGACGCGTCTAAAGTCAACAAGGTAAATGCGACGTAAAAACGTCTACTTGAGAGAAACTCTCCGCAATAGAACAGGGGGATGTTGTTTTATTTATACACTTAGACAGATTCTTGGGTGGAATTTGATGTAGTTTATTTATAAAATATTTATTCTCCGTCAAGTGGCTGTGTGATATCTCCTTTTCATAATTCAGTGTGTATTTTTTAAAGATTTCCAGTGGTGGCTGAAAAATTCCCGTAAGTCCGTTTTTAAAATGAAGTTTGTTTGCCTTCTCCCTATTCGAGTTAAAAAATTACATTGGTAGGTAGGTCGAATTTTTTTTGTCGGAAATTTTCAGTGTTATAAAAGATTAAATGCATATAAGTTGTTGATAGGATGAGAAAATCCCGGAATGAATAATTTGGAAGTTTTAAAAAGATTTTAGTCGGTTCATTTTAAAAGGTCAAACAAACAAGTTTTTAAAGTTTTTTTTTAGTTTAATGTCCAGCTGTTTCATCGTAATGCACATGCAATTTAACAGGAGCATTAAACTAAGGTATTTTTATTTAAATAGCAATGCAGTGAAAATTGACCTAAATTACTTCTCTTTTACTTATAGAATGAATTTAACCCAATGTTAACGGTTTTAAATGGGTTGGGACAGTTAACGTTGCCGTTTATATAAATAAAACGTGAACTGTTATTGATAAATAGTTAAGTTTAGTTT